GTACTGAAGGTCTAATGAACTACTGTACACTCTGTAACAATGTCAGTGCTATCGTAAAGCCTTTCGTCGAGACGTCAATACGCATTGACTATCTAAGAATCGAACTGAAATCAGTGTCTTGAAGTCAAGACAGATCTTGAGTTCAGAAATGCAGTCGGAAGTTGGTTCTGCTTGGCCAATCGAGTACTCTAGCTGTCGACTGACTGATACGTCCAAGCTGACTGTACCGAGTCTTCGATAACGAAAATCCTCAACAAAACAATAATAAATGGTCATCATAGACGTTTGGGACTTGCTGTCAATGGCTCGCGTGCCAATATACAGTCAATTCACTTTACAGTGTGTTCTGTGAAGCGCTTTGGGACGTCCTCCCGACGTGAAAAGCGCTATATCAAATGCAAGGATTATTATTATTATTATTATTATCAATGGAGCGTTTGATGTCCCACCGAACCAACTTTCCCTTGGATCAACATAAAAGTTAATTGTCTTTCACAACTTGGCTTTGTTTGCTTCATGTAAACAACTATGACTGTCCAATCTATCGTGGGAGATCTGGGGCCCGAAATGTATCGCAAAAGAGGTTCTGTGCCCTTAGTTTGAAATAAAGTATGCATTGTACATATATTGCATTCATTATGCACCGAAACGAAGGGTTTTGCCCACAAAGTACACAGTAAATTAATTGTGCATTGCAGTATTTGACGTTGTTTTAGAAATCTAAAATAGGTGATGAGCTTCTGGATAATATGCAAGTCTTATTATTATAAGGAATGAATAAAAATGGAATCGATGTTGAAACAAAAGTGTAATTATTGGTTTGACGACCATCTCAGCTAAGACCTTCTGCATTTCAAATCGTAACATGGCAATATTTCAATGAAGTGCACGATCAACCACTGATGTCTTTTTGTTGCCAATTTATTATTTTAAAGATTGCTTTCCACAAGCCTGCAAGCTTTACGTTCTGGTTATGTGAAGGGTTCAGTTAAACTGTTAGTGTGTTCTCGTATCAATTTAATTTAGTTGTCAAATGAGCAAATGGGCAATGTTACGAAATTTGTTTTTCAGACCCATAGTATTTCGCATATGGAATGTCTTTCCGGCAGAATCAGGTCAATAAGACCAGTTTAACAGTTCAGTTAAAGTATAAGTGTGATCGCGTGATAAGAACTTATTGATTTAATTCAGTTGTCAAACGAGTAAATGGGAAATTTTCTTTTCAGACACATAGTATTTAGAATATGGAATGTCTTACGACTCTTCCCTTCACAAGCAGCAAATCATGCAACACTCTGCAGCTTGTGTACTGTCACGCAGCAGGATCCCTGACCCCATCAGTCCCACTTTCGCCCGACTCCACTAGATCCCCATCGCCCAGAGGATCAAGTTCAAGATGCACGTCCTCCCCTTGAAGGACATCCATGGCCTTGCACCCTCCTACGTCTCTGAACTGCTGACTTCCTACCAATCTGCCCGTTCCCTCCGTTCATAGACTCCGGCCTGCTCCATGTCTCACGCCCGACCCGCCCTCCCATCGGCGGCCGGTCTTTCAGCCTCTCTGCACCCACAATCTGGAAATCCATCTCACGGTCACTTCGCCTCACTTCCACCCTTGCCTCCTTCAAGGCCGCACTCAAGACACTACTCTTTGACCGTGCCTTTGGTCTCCCTCCCACCTCTCTGCCTTCGCTCATTCCCAAACCACCCCTCTCCAAATCTCGGGCAAAGACACCTGAATGTTAAGCGCTTTGGGATGTCCTCCCGACGTGAAAGGCGCACAAAAGGCAATTTTGTTCTACTTCTTGTTGGTGTCTTGCCGCCAGAGTCCACATTAGAATTCCAAAGGAACCAATTGAATATCTAAACCGGTTATGTCGATTAATTTTTTTGCCCAACTGAGTTCTGACAAATGTGGAAACCATCACCTTGCTTCGGAAATTCTAAACCAAGCTGAGAACTCTTTGCTGCTCAGCTGCACAAGTAAAATCCCAGAGGAATGGTATGTTGAAAGGGCATTTAAATGACACCGAAGGATCCGTTCTTAAAAAAAGCCAAACCTGACATAATCTGGGATGGTCATATGGCCTTTTTCTGTGCTTTACATGTGCATAATCCCATTTCGAAATGAAACAGCAACATGTTACAGCAACTAGTTACATTTGTATAGCGCCTCCCACGTCAGGAGGACGTCCTCATTAGCCACTTCAACGATAGCTTGACCCCCGTTTGAGGTCAGAATCAGGAAGGACTGAAATTCAAGAAAGTAAGACATAATTTTCAGAATTTACCCGTTCATTATCCACATAATTACTGGGAAGAGCAGCGACAATTGATGTTCATTAATGTTTGCCTATTTTTGTATGCAGTCGGTTCATTCCAGGCCGTGCAAAAATATTTCCCTGACCAGGAATCGAACCCGGGCTGCGGCGGTGAAAGCGCCGAATCCTGACGACTAGACGGTCAGGGAACACGATTGCACATGATTACACTGTTCAATAATACATGCTACGTTTTTATGTGGAGAATATCTCATTGAGCTTTACAGAACCATGAGCTCTTATCACAATCGTGTTCGCAAACGACAGTAAGAAATTACACTGACAAATTTAAATGATTTAACGATTTCTTTATTTTCTATAAGAATAAGGATGCCTTTCGTAAAAGTTCAAACAAAATAACTTTTCAAATAAAGTGTTGTGACGAAGAGAAATATTAAAATTATTGTGAGGATGAAATTGGACAGATTAGCATTGATACATATATTGTAGAAAACAATATAAAATTTCGTGTTCTTGAATTTTGCTGCTTCTAGCTTCCGCAATCAAACAGATGATATGGAATAGCACTGGATATTGGACATGATGTCAAGCAGTGAAACGCCTCAGAAAGAAATGTCCAACCGTTCAAAAGCACCAACAGACATCAGTTTACGTTACATATTATAGTTATTGGACTCAGAATAATTGAAGATAAATCCCATGAAAGAATTGCGGAACACACTCACAACTGCCGATTCAGTGACAATCGCTGGCACCAGAAACACAAGGTTACTTGGCTGCATTCAGTGGCTGTTTTCGAGACGAGAGTAAGGGGACCCTCGGTCTGTGCATTTCTATTGTGCACTACTGTAAGACCTCGATTTTCGTGGGAAAGAGCATTGCAGGTTTGTGTTGATGCAGTGTTGCAGTGTGTCAGCGCTGCAGTTAAATTCGCAATTTAAAAAAATATCTCTCACATCCAAAATATACTGAACTGAAACTGACGCTTATCTACAGTGACAAGACTCTTATATTTTTAACAACATTTAAAACAGTTTCCAAAAGCAGTGTTCATAAATTAGTGCTTATTTGATACACATAAAGTTTTGAATCAATTTGAACTTCATTTAAACGTCTGTTGTGGCGGAATAAGGAGAATGATGTGCAAATACTTCCACATCATAAGGTGATCAGTGGCTCCATCTATTTGTGTTTACATTTCAGCTTGGAATAGCTCATTTAGAGATGCTGTAAATTTTTATCAAACCAAGGGTTGCCTGTGACAACAGTTAAGTTAATAAAAGGCAATATTTTTCTGTGGCAGAAGGATGTAGAAAGAAGTCTCTGTTGCGCAATCGTTCAGGGCGTTCGGCTGTTATCTGAAAGATTGGTGAATAAAGCCCACTCAGGGACGTGCCTCTTTTGGCGTAAATATATTCTGTTTCAATTATTTCTTCGCAATTGAAATAATATCGTGAAAAACTTCGTAACAGTGTATCATTTAGTTTTGCTTTAGTGACAATGTTCTGGGCTTTTCAACCGACATATTGTTGGAACACTTGATTTCGTTTTCAAAGCACAAGTCGCAGGACATGTTGGACTTCTTTCATCGGCAGGAAGACTTCGACCTGGGCCTTGTGGCCTCACTTGACTCCTGTTAGTGTCTCAATATTCCTTCAGGACTATCATATAGATACGAGGATTTGTAAAGGCTCGCAATCCGCAATATCAGTTACAGTCAGGAACCCCTCGACTCAAACAATCCACAAACTCAGCATTAGAAAGGCTGACAAACCAGAAGTTAAAAACCATGTTTGTTTGAAATTCAGTTAAGAATCGATTAAACCAGAATTCACGAATTCCCTCCAGTCTCATACAAGTTATTTGCGCAGTCATTGTTTTTATATACCTAAGGGATGATAAATGATCCCAAATGTTGTAGTGGAGGTAAATGTACAGTCGTGATCGTACAGTGGTTAATATATTGTGTTGTGGCCCCTATGACTTCGGGTCACATCGCAGTCACGGCAATCAACAGCGCTTTTCAGTTTGACATATATTTAATTATTTTATTTGAAACTTCCGCTGTTTTCATTTGATTAATAAATTCAGTAAACACTGCGTTTGATACAGTGGCTTCTCACAACTTCGCGACGTCTCAAAGCACTTCACAGAATTCACTGTAAAGTGAATGAACTGTTTACTTATTACTACTACTAGTATTTATTAACATAATTAATATTAGGTGGGATATGTTGATGATAAACATTTTATACAACGTATTGATAATTCGTGTTCTGCGTTATTTTTATTGTTTGCTTTTCATAAGACTCAACAACAACAAAAAGATGCATTGACTGTGAATGAAAATATTGACCTCGACGTGATTTGAACACGTAGCCTTCTGATCTGGAGTCAGACGCGCTACCGTTACGCCACGAGGTCGTCAGCTTCTCTCACACGAGAGGCTGGAATTTAGAGATGTAAAGTACATCCAAACTAACCTTGTGAACTTGGTCATTCCGAAACATTGTTCAAAACCCAGTTCAAGGCCGACATTCGGAGCTCCAGAACATCTGTGCTAAATCACTGAGAAGAAGTTCTGAAAAGTTTTTTTTTGTCAACATAAATCGGCTATAAAGTCCCCAAAATGAGCGACCAGAATTTAGAAGGAGTTTCATTAGAAAACAAGATATGTGCAATTTTTTAAAACAAGCGGAAACACTTCATTTTACAGCCGCCGAAATAGCTCAGTTGGGAGAGCGTTAGACTGAAGATCTAAAGGTCCCTAAAGGTTCAATCCCGGGTTTCGGCAGTTTTATTGTTCAGTTTGATTGTAACTCACAGCCTAAGTATGTCCTGTTAACACTGGCCGTTTGGGTGACATTACATTGTGACTCTTCTGCTCAGTTCTGCTTCAATCAAAACACAAAGATTTATTTTTTTCAATGACTTGAAGATCGAGGTGAATTTATATAAATGTGCAGCAAATCAACAGAGATCCATTCATTTTGATATTGCCAAGTTCTTCTGTTGACATTTCAGTTATTTGATGCACAACGTGGCTCGTTGGTCTAGGGGTATGATTCTCGCTTTGGGATAGCAAATTAATAAATATGCGAGAGGTCCCGGGTTCAAATCCCGGACGAGCCCAAATTTTAGCTGAAGGGTTGTCCATGTTTCACACTCTGATTGGAGTTTGAAGCAACTAAATTATTTTGGTGATATCGAAACAGTAATTGTCCTATTCAATAGGCGAAATTAGCATCCGTTGCAGCGCCAGTGGTTTAGTGGTATTACGCAAGATTTATATTGTTGAAAGCCATGTTAGATTTTTGATGATTGCATCAATCTTCCACTGCCCTGCCCTGCCCTTCCAGTTGAATATTACTTTTCTATCTGGAGAAGGAGAATATTGTTAGCAGCAGCCATCATTCGATTTTCCAAAAATATAACATGCTGACCATACGTAGCGAATTATTTGGGATACTCAGAATCAAACTATTGAAATGTAATAGATGTAAATCATTTGTGTTTCCAGATGGGCTGTGACAAAATGCCACATGAGAGGAAACAGACCAAACTACAAAACAGACTCAATGGAATCATGGTGGAGAAGATCGCGTAGTAAAACACAAACATTGGAAGGAGCTGTGAATAGAATGGTGTTGGGAAGACCGAATGGGTCATGGTACCGATGGGCGGAATGAAGGATTGGGTAAGAACCCATCACGGAGAAGTATCGATACGATGAACATCAAGTGTTGGTTAAGGTGAGCAGATCTGAGGGAAGGTAATGATCTGAGCGTGATGTGACTGTAAGCGTCAGTACTTTTAGAAACTGAGCGAAGTTGTCTCGGATCCGGGAGAGAATAGTGGAGGAGCTCTGTGGTCACCTGTGCGAAGGCCTGACCTCTCCGACCGAAACCACAGATATTGAAGATTTGGAAAGGCAGAATGTTAGTGACGAGACGGACTTCTTGATCATCCGTCAAGTCAGTCCTTCGACAGCGAGGAGAGGAAAGGAGCACGCAGAGCAGGTCATTCAGTAACCGGTATCAGTCGGTACCATGGGCAGAGAGGCAACAGCCCACGTTGAGGGGATCACCAATCGCCAGAACCTGAAGGCCTGATTGCTCAGTTAACCATAATATGACTGGTGATGTTTCAGCTTGCATCCAATTTTCGGCCATAATGTTTTTTTAATAAAACGTGGATAAATGTGTCTCGTTTCTTTGGAGCTTCCTTTTTCGTCTCACTATGGATGCACTTTATATAAAAGTTGCTGTATTAAATGCGGTGATTATTATTAACTGACAGAAGATTAATATATTAAGAAAATTCAGAGAATTTTTTATTCGCAATATTGACTCCACTGAGAAAAAGTCTGGATTTGAACTTGATCTGCAATTGAGTGCTCTCCCGCTTAACTACACACAAATGTGTTCACATTTCCTAGTTTTGACTCATGCAGATTACGGAGCAGATCATCCACAACTCTGCAGCCCGGATTCTCTCCTGCTAAAGGCTCCACAACGCTATGACCGCCATCTTCGCCTTGCTCCCTTGGCTTCCGATCAGTCAGAGGATACAGAGCAGGATCATTTTCTTCACCTTCAATGCCCTCCAAAGACTTCCACCTCCCCGTATCTCTGACCTGTTATCAAAACCCAACGTACCCTCTCTCTCTCTGCTCAGCGGATTTCGATAGGCTTCACGTGCACTGACTCGCCCGCCCCACCATTGGTCGGCCTTCATCCTCTCTGACCCCATCTTCTATACTTCCATTCCACAGTCCCTTCGTGTCGCCCCCTCCCGTACCGCCTTCAAGATCCGTCTTAACTTTCTTCCCTTCAGATAAAAAATTACTTCTACGCTCCCCGCGCTGCAACACTACTCATCCCAACCAAAAGCTAAGGAGCGGATCACTGAATGTCCAGTGTCTTGTGACGTTCTCAGAAAGGGAAAGCCACTCTACAAATGTAATTTTTTGTTGTTACTTTCAACTGTGTTTTTTTTTCTCACACAGATTAATCGAAAACTTCTTCAACCAGAAGCTGCTGCTAGTGAATTTTCAGTCAAGAAAAAGTCTAACAACAATGACATTAGTTCCAAAAGATTATTGAGGACACAAAAAAAAATGTAATTGGTAAATTGACTTCACATCGGAGCTCGTCGCTTGTGCATTACACGGCCCAAAATTGCGATAAAACCCAGCTAAATTCCACCAAAAGCCCACACAGCTTGGATTTTGAGACCGGCAAACATCCCATCGGTTTAACAGAAACAGATGAACTTGCTATGCACTTGAACTTCACCTTGAACATCAGTTTAGGTATGACGTGCGAAAAAAGCGACCGAGTGAAGGATTTTTCCTTATACCCGTGTATGTTTTCTCGACAGAGTTTGGCGATTCCTGCTGTACCAATTCACCATACACTGAAACACAAAGCAACAAGAACCAAACCGAGTGATGTTCCAGAATGAAAAGCATCAAAGGCACCGCTGGGATTTGAACCCAGGATCTCCTGTTTACTAGACAGGCGCTTTGCCATCTAAGCCACGGCGCCATAGCTTCATTTCCAATTATTTTATTTAAGTCCAGGTGAATGATCATTTTATTTTATATGTCAGTGATGATCACCTCACCTTCTTTATTCAAGGACCAAGTTGGAGCGGATTATTGGCTGCTGGTTTGAGACTGGGAGTCGGGGTCAGCTTGGATTTGTCTATCAGTATTTCCATGGTCGCTATTAGAAGAAAAGCTTCTTCACTCAGTTTGATTTACTAATAAAGAAGGAAAGTCTCGTTGTGTTTGCTGTTTCACGATTGCCTTAGATTTTGTCACGTGATAATAAAATTATATCAGAGGCGCTCACTACAGGTCTGAAACATTTCAAATGAAGTTCGATACACAAACGAACCTGGAGTTCACTATTCTACTGAACCAAAGATCGTGGCCAGTACGGGCATCGAACCCATGACCTTGGCGTTAGCACCAAACTCTAACCAACCGGATTAACCGGCCTCAGTTACCAATCCCATGACTCTTATCGATAAAAACTGTGCAACAACAACTTACGTTGATATAGCGCCGCTAACCCGGAGCAGTAACTTAGAGCGCTTCTCTGTGGGGCAGCATGGCACCAAGATGCGAGAAGGGGATCTGAGGCCAAATGTCCGGCTGTCCTCTGTCCCTCAGTTTTTCGGCACAAGTCTCAGTTCTGTCGAGCCAAAAACATGAAGGCCCTCATTTTCCTCACTCTATTGCTGGCTGCTTTCTCCCGTGAATGCTATAATTCTGAGAGTTTCACTGTTCCTCTGTAGCGGTTATTCTGTCTGCAATGTCACAGAGATAGGAGATTTCACAATAATTCTTCTTCAGTGTTTTATCTTTTGCAGTGGTCGTGGCCGATGTGTTGCTGACACAGCCGCCGTGTCTAACCGGGACAACCGGCCACGTCCTGAGACTGACCTGTGAAAACAGCGGGTTTGATCTGAGCAGCAACAACATGACCTGGTATCTTGTATAACAAATCTAATAGAATTTTCAATGAGGTTGCGGAGCGGGTGGATAAATGCAGTGCAGTTGATGTTGTTTATATGGAATTTCAAAAGGCAATTGAAAAAGTGCCACACGAAAGACTTGATAGAAAGATTGAGAGGAGACAATATCGGCTTGGTACTACAATTTTAAAGGGGAAAATAAGAAAGGAACCTGGGGTTTCAGGAATATATATCCTAGTAGATGGCAGGACAGGTAGATGAAGCTGTAAAAATGGCTAATGAAATAATCGTAAAATGAAAATCAATGGCAAAGCCATCACTTTGCTAAGCTGCTCTCTGAATTTCGTCTGGGTAACCGCACAAATACATGTGTTTGTGCAGGAACTCAAAAGCTGCAACATGTAACCAGGTTGCCGGGCAATAAACCGTGCAACATTAGGGCTTGTGTGGGAATATATTTTAGAAATCCTCCAAAATAAAGAATATAGAACATACGATATCCACAATAATATAAAACTGGTATTCAGAGAGTTACACGATTGTTTTTTTCGGATCTTCATCTCTGTATCACTGTCTCTTAAACCTCTATTGTTGTTCCCATTGCTGTGTCCCCACAATTTTTGCGGGCTCTACTGGCCACCAGTATATACTTGACCGTCATAGCGTTGAACAACAAAATCATAACGAATGCGAGAATTGGTGTTAAACAACAACAACAAGATTCCATTTATAGAGCGCCTTTCACGTCGGGAGGACGTCCCATGGCGCTGTACAGTTGGGTCAGGACCTGAGCAGGGGGGAAATGATCAGGGTGAGGGGAGGGAAGGGAGGGAACGAGGAGTGGATAGAGAGTCGAGAGGGGAGCTAAAGGCTCGGTCAAAGAGAAAGATCTTTGACCGAGGTCGGAGAGGTCGGAGGGAGCAAGGCCGTGAATGGCTTTGTAGGTGAGGATGAGGATCTTGAAATCGATCCTCTGGGGGATGGGGAGCCAGTGGAGGCGAGCGAGGGTGGGAGTGATGTGGTCCCGAAGCCTGGTGCGGGACAGTACACGAGCTGCAGAGTTCTGAATGACCTACAGCTTGTGGAGGGAGGTGGCGGGAAGGCCGGCGAGGAGAGAGTTCCCATAGTACAGCCTTGAGGTGATAATCGCGTGGACCAGAGATTCAGCAGCGTGAGGGGTGAGGCAGTGTCGTAGTCTGGCGACATTCCGGAGGTGATGGAAATCGGTGCTAGTTGTGGCGCGGATATGAGGGAGAAAGAACAGCTCAGGGTCGAAGAGAGCACCGAGGTTCCTGACTGGCTTTGAGA